CCTCATTACTGAGTCCTTTTTTTGAAACTTTGATTTCTGTTTTGGGTTGTTTTTTTTTTTGGGTTTTTTGAGCTATGGTCTTAAACTTTTGATCAGCTGAAAAAAATCATGTTTGAGTGTAAATGCAGTTTTCAGAAAATTCCCTGCTCAAAAGTTCTGGTCTCTTGCACTGATTTCTTCTAACATTGTGAAGCTCAACTTAGAACCTTCTTAAGATCCAATAGTGCAAAATGCAAATTCTTGCACTTTTTTGACTGGYCTTAAGATTTTAATCAGGAGTGTATATATATATTAGTGAAAAATCTAAGCTCAACCAGGAAGCTCAATGTTTTGTTTTCTTGTTGATGTTTGTCAATCATTCACACTACTGAGATCAGTTTTTCTTCCATAGTACTTTTCACGGCACATATCTCGTTCCCCAAATTCTAGGCTATTTCAACAATAAAATGTTTAGCTTTTTCAGCACATTTCGGCTTCAACTTTTGATACTTCAGCTATTTATACATTTGGAGATATAGATATTTCTGCCATTTTTTGTCTTTATCATCCTTAAAACCCTTGAAAATGTTCATACATCTTTACTGTAACTTTCTTTGTACTAATTTTAGCTTCCTTCAGTTTCCATTTAGCTGATTTTAGCTTTTTCCCCCCGACAATTCGCTATCATGAACTTTTCTGCTATTCTTCTGATTTCAATGTTTTTTCTTTCAGATTTATTTTGCTAATTATATCTTTTTTCTGTGTTTTTAGATACTTTTTTAGCTAATTATACATTTAAAGCTAATTTCACCTTTTTGTGATAACTTCTTACTGCTTAATTTAGCAAACATGCTATTTCTGGTTTTTTTTTTTGTTAAAAAAATCAGCTATTTACTTTTTTGAACCCTATTTTAGCCCAGTTTTAGATCTTTTTAGCTATTCAATAAAACCTTTCAGCGTTATGCAGGAAATGCTAATTTTCTTGTTAACTATTATATGTATCATATCTTGAATTTTAAAGAGCATTGTATAATGTTTTGTTTGTTGGTTTCTTTCTTTCTTTCTTTGCCAGGAGTTTTTGTGCATTTGAGTAAGTCATGATATWTGATCATATACGTACGTTCAAAGTTTCTGGACTGATGACACAGCAAACAGCACAAGCAAGGAGGCAATATAAACTTCCCTTATGTGCGACTAATAAAGGATTATCTTATCTTATCTTATCTTATCTTATCTTATCTTATCTTATCTTTTATTGTCTTGTCTTGTCTTGTCTTATCATCTTGTCTTGTCTTGTCTTGTCTTGTCTTATCATCTTGTCTTGTCTTGTCTTGTCTTGTCTTGTCTTATCATCTTGTCTTGTCTTGTCTTATCATCTTGTCTTGTCTTGTCTTGTCTTATCATCTTGTCTTGTCTTATCTTATCTTATCTTATCTTATCTTATCTTATCTTATCTGTGATATTATAACGTACAGTGACATGAAGCACCATAAATCTCACCAATTCCAGTGTATCTATTTCAGTGGTTTCAGGCAGTTGGGTGTTCTTTTCCCCMTGTTCATCTGCATATGCAACAGTTCCCCAACTGCTCTTTGCTTATCATCTGATTATCTGTTTCCTAAWGCTCAGAGTTTCAAACAGAAGATCAGAGTTGCAGCTGCAAATACTGATCACGTTACCCAGGAACAAACACGTCTGTCAAATGTGAATTCAGATACGTTTTGCAATAGAAAAGCTGCACTTTATGCTTTTGTACTGTTTATTACAAACACAAATTTGTTGTTTTTCAGGGGTTTACGCAGCAGGAGGCACAGACAGCGGTAGAATCAAAACATATGTTACATATGTTGATGAGTTTCAGCATCACCAGCCCTGATAAACAGGTGTTCTCTTTGCATTGCTGACCAACCAATTACCTTCTGAGAGGACACTGATGGCRTCCGAGTGCTGCTGTCCGTTCCCCATCGAGTTCTTCTGGGCTTCCTGAACGTGACTCTGGTAAAGCAGAGTGGTTCCCACCATGGGGTTTTGGCTGGCGTTGGCCGCAGAGGTAGAGCCAGAGTCCCAGGCCAGCTCCCGGCCACGCCGCAGGCTGAGGTCCACGTCCAAGCCCGTCCAGCCATGAAACGCCAGGGTGTTCAGGAAAGCCTGCATGGGGTTCAGGATGCCCTGAAAGAGGTGACGTAAAGAATAAATAATAATGTTTTTTTAAAGTGAAAATCYACAGATATTTTTAACCAACCATGATGAACCAGGTGGTGAGAGCTGCGTTCCTGAGGTCTCTGAGGCTGCTGTCATTAATGTCTGTCTGCATCTCCAGGTAGAAGAGCAGGCTCTCGTTGATGATGTTTGGGACCCAGCTGTAACCCCAGAAAAAGTGACTTTTTAACAAAGAAACAATGGATCATTTTAATATTTTTAACTGAACAATGTAAAGCTTTGGTTTCTCCAGAAAAGTGTGGATTCTGTGCATTTAATTCACAAAGGGAGTTTTGCGCCTGGAGCTTAGCTTCTGCCTGAAACTTTAACATTTCCTGATAGCTGGTGGTACAGAAAGAGGACAGATATGTTGATAAATGTTTAATACAGTGTTAAAAGTCAGTGCATAATATCTTACACCAAAAGTAAAAAAAAAAGAAGTTGTGATTATAAAACTATCCTAGCTCCTTCACATGTAGAACCTACAAAATGTGATTGAAGTGTAATATTTTGAGAGCAAAYGGAGCAAAGCAGACATGATGGGCAGTGTTTAATGTTTAAGGTGGTGAAAATTCCAACCAGAACCAAAAACGACGACAACTCACCAAACGAAGAACACCAGCATTATTTTAAAGAAGCGTATTTTTATGTCATTCGCCAGACGTCGCTCGTTTTCTGTGTAGATTCCTTGTCGTCCTTTGAGTAAAGATGTCACTGCGGGGAGATAAAWAGGGTTGTTTGTTTCTAACCCGACAGCAAGTGCGTGACTGTATGTTTTATTTTTTGTCTTCTCTGAGTAATTCAAGAGAAAGGAACTAACCCGCAGAAGTGGTCCTGCTGAAGAAGACGGGGTTGGCGACGAGGACGAGCAGCATGGGTGCGTATGTGGTGATGTAGTGAGGAACAGCATGCTGGAGGCCTTGTTCACAGCTGCACGAAGATGGGACGAATCATTACATCAGCGTCAAAAATCACCTAACTATTCAGACACGCTTTTTACTAACGTTCATTGGTTTATGTTAAGAAGAACRTGTCCTACTCTGAGATGGATGGATAGTAGAGCATGGCCACTCCTTCAACACACAGGAGCACAGCCAGACCCCATGTGATCATGTGGTAGAGGACGATGGTGCTGATGGGGGGGAAAGAAGCACGTCATGAGACTGGAGGCTCATAGCACATGCTGCAGCTTGGTATTTAGACAGAAAATGAGTGTTCTTCTCTGGCAGGGCAGGAAAGTATGTAGAAATAGTAGCATGACATCAAACCTCTCACTTTTTTAAAATAATTTCTTACTGATTCAGTCTATTTTACAGATATTACCATAAAATTCGATATGACAGCAGCTGAAACTAATCATATTCTAAGTTGCACCGGATTAGCCGAGATCTTTGTTTAAATCTTTGCCATTAAGTATTTGTAGTCAACTCTGTCTGTTAGCAAAACAGGGGTTCTCAAGCCATTTGGGTCTGGGGACCCCTTACAAGGCCGAAAAAAATTCCAAGGACCCCCTCTTAAGCTCCATGCTGTTTTAAAAGATATTTTATTGTCATTTCAACCCCTAAATGCCATGGGAATAAATATTTTTATTAAGTTTATTATGTTTGTTTAATTAGTTCATTGTTCTCCATGCATTTTAAAAAATAAAAAACTCATTAACATTTTAGTAAATATTTTTGAGGATCCCCAAGATACCTCTCGCGGACTCCTGGGGATCCAGGGAACCCAGTTTGAGAACCTCTGCTCTACACAGATCTTGATGAAACACCCAGAAAATTGTCACTAGATACTCTTCCAGAGCTGATTAACTTTGGGAGTCAACTCAATTCAAGAGGGCTGCCACAGCCAACTACCTTAGAAAACACAAATTGCTACAAGTCGGCTAATTTTACAGATATTGTGTTATTCTGGTGTGGTGGAAGCAGGAGTAATTCACAGCACTCGTTGTGTAAGATCTTTGCCTGAATTTCTTGTTAACTGTTGGAGTCAGCGCTCTGTCTGTTAGCAAAATATCAAGAGAAACGAATGATGGGTTTTCATGAAACGTTCATGACGTAATCTTTGAATGTACACATATAACTGATGAACGCTGGTGGTGTCAGTCTCACTCAAACTGGCAGCCACAACTAATCAACATTAGCCAACACAAAAATCACCACTACTCCATCAATTTTGCAAATACTGAGCTAAAATGGCTAGGTGGTTGAAGATGGGAGTTGTTTCTTCAAAGAAAGCTAAGGCTTTCATTTCATCTGTTATGTTCGTTTAAAACAAGCGTCTCTTCAGAACAAGAACCCGTGTCTCGTTTGGAGAAGCAAAGTAAAGAAAAAAAATTACATTTTACACATTGAGTTTGATTGATAAATGTTGCTTTTTAAAGCTTTCTGTTCCCGCTTCCTATAGGTGTTGAGGTGATAATGAGTTGCAGATGAAAGGTGAGGATTGTTGATTGTTTGTAATTAAAATAGATGAAAGATTTCATTGCAGTAGCTTTTGCATCGAGAGTAAAAGCTGCTTTTGACCATTTATGGAAATAATCAAMAAGGGCGAGTCGTGAGCTCCATGTTCAAATAGACTCACTACGTTGCCAGCTGCATGTTGGAATGGATCCTCTGGACGGGTTGTAATGGGGCAGATGAAACACTTGTCACATGCCTGACAGATGATACCAGGACTGTGCAGACCAAATCATCAGTAAAGTTCTCTGAAGTGCTGTTTTGTGCCCTGSTGTGAGTCAGGTGCACAATCTCTTCTTGCAGAGAATTAGAAATTATAAGTTGTTTTCTCTGATCAGTTTGTGACACGCAAGGAAGTAAAGTTTGCCCCCTCTGAAAAAGGTCTTCTGTACGTTCAGGAAAAGGTGTCAAACTCATTTTCACCAAGGAAGTGCCAGTTGTAATTCACTTTATGTTTAACTTTGACTAAGCACAAAACCTCACATTCCTTGTCTTATTTGCCACAGCTGAGATCTACGTGGTATTTCCTGCATGGAAACAGTGTTTTACACATGCTTTTATAAACAACTGATACGTGTGAAATAAATAAAACAAAAACACCATTCAAAGTTTAAGTTTTACCAACTGTTGAGTTGTGGTTGAGTAGCTGCCATCTTGAATTCTGGTTTCTTCCACTTTCCAATAGGGAATTCCCATTGGAAGGGGTGTTCCAGTTTAAATTTACAACTTGTAAGTGGGAAAATTCCCACTTCCCAGTGCAACTGGAGCAAAAGTAGAAGACAGAAATGCAGCTGAATGGAGATTTTACATAGCAAAATTTGCCRGCTATTTGTGGGATGTCAGCATTTTGTGAGAAAAATAATCAACATGCGTTACAGGAGATGTAGTTTCTAGTCAATGCTGGCTTTAACTTTTATGCATATTTTATTTTACAGACATTAATATGTCATTGAAGTGCTCGCAGGCCACATTTGAGTTTGACACATGCACTTTAGGTTATGATTGGATGATTTGTTGGAGTTTTAAAGGGATCCACATTAGTTGTAACATTAAACTTTATTTGATAAACATTTGTTTTAACTGTAAAATAAAGACTGTAAAAATACTGTAGGCTGTTTAGTTTTCTAAATTTTTTTAAAATATGTTTTAACACGGGCAGAGCCATTTTATTTGCATGCAAAGCATTCTGGGTAAATGATGACATCAACTAGGTCATCGGTGCGAGGCTGCTAGCGAGCTATATCCACCCTGAAGCTTAATCTTGGACAATATCTGACGATCGACTCTTTTAAATGAAACCAGAGAGCGTTGACAGAGAGGAGAAGGTAGAAATGACTCAGCCTGTAACTGAAAATATGGATGGAGAACAACAGAGCTGCTTCATGGAAGAAGAACCTCAGCTTAGCCTGTTAGCCGTCGCCCTAGCCCTCACGCTATATTGCCTTATATGTATTAGCTCGGTGCTAGTGCGACAAACAAGCTAAACTGAGGTCCTCCATCCATATTTTCAGTTGCAGCGGAATCATTTTTGCATTCTTCTCTCTGTCATGTGGATGGAGGACCTCAGTGATGAGAGGAGAATGTGTAGCGCTGAGCTAATACATATATATGGTGATAGCATCGGGGCTAACGCTAAAGCTAACAGGCTAAGCTGAGGTTCTTCTTCCATCATTTACCCAGAATGCTTTGCGTGTAAATAAAATGGCCCCATCCATGTAATAAATTTTTAAACTTTTAGTTTAAAAATGATAAAAACTGAACATCCTATAGTATTTTTACAGTCTTTATTTTACAGTTAAAGTATATGTTTATCAAATAAAGTCTAATGTTACAACTAATCGGGGATCCCTTTAAAATCAGGACCACATTCAGAGTGCATTCTGCAGCTGTGTTCCTGGTGCTCAGGAGGAACAGTCAGCCATGATGTTCTGACTTCCTGCAGGTCATCCTGGATGCTCAAATGTTCACCGGGTAAACCGATGAAACTAAGTACCTGATTCCTGCGGAGGTCTTCACCACCAAGAAGACATCGAYGGCGTAACAAAAGGTCCACCAAAAAGAAGCGCTGAAAAACAACTGGATCCACATCTGTAACACATGAACAGGAGGGTTTAACTATGACAGATGATTAACACTCAGCCAAAATAACCCTGTCCTTCAATTAAATCTGGATATTTTTTTGTTCTATAAATATCATGCATTAATACAGAGACAAAGTTTGTTGTCTTGTGATCCATCAATACAAGATGTTTTCTTCAGTTTACGTCATGAGTGTGAGTGAACATGAGGGTTGGGGACGTACTGCACTCCCCACGCAGAAGACCTCCGGCAGCGTGTCTGTGTTGTTGGTGACGGAGATGCCGCTGATGATGCCCGGCAGGCCCAGCCAGACCGACGACCTGAAGATGACGCCTGCAGCAGGGAGATGCACAGAATCTGCTTTAACATGGGAGAGGAGTCGACACAAGCTAAACGCAGACCGAGTCCAGGTCGTCTGGCTTTAATTAACATTTCCACACGTGAATTTTTTTTAGTGCTTGAAATAATTACTGTCAGTCAGGGGAGTCCTTTTTTTTAATTTAACGGCAGCTTTGCATCATGGAAATACGACCTTCCAACAGGCTGTGTTTTATAGGGGTGTTTCCATTTCCTCCATGAAACTAAAAACGGGTTAAAGAGCTCTCCCACAATCCTTTATGCAACGCGGACTGCACGCTGTTCTGCATTTCATCCTAAACTGTGTCATCAAGCTGTGAAGTGGACAGCTGAATGATTCTCACTGGGTGTGGAAACACATGACTTCACCCCCCACCCCACCCCACCCCTCCCTCAGTGATGAACGAGCAGTTCAAGTGTCAGAGTGGGTCCTCTGACATGCAGCATTTTATGCCATTCTGCATTTGATTTGCACAAACAAACCCAAAACAAAATCAACTTGTAATGAGTCATTTTATTGCTCACAGGAAGGAATCGTGACTCATTGTTTTGTTTTGTGGGGAAAACCTCTAAGATCCTGTTTTTCCACAAGTTCTAGATTGATGTTCACACGCAAAAGTTTCTTTGTCTTTGTTGCGTGAGACGGGCTTCTTCGACAACTGCATGCAAATTTGTGCAACAAAAGGGTTAAGAAGAAAGAATTTGAGGTGGGTAATTGAACCCAGAACTCAGCGCCATGAAGGAAAACTGACTATAACAAAAGAACAAAGCGTGTCAGATGTTTGCTTTTACCTGCACATCCCAGAATGTCACAGATGCTGATGATGAACAGAATTCGGGAAGAGGACGCGGGCCTCGGCAGAGGGTACTGTCCCAGCCTCCTGTATCCTTTGTGCTTTGGCAGAACCTGCAGGACGGTAAATATGAGGCTCAAAGCGGCGCTCCCCAGAGTCAGAGCCCCGAACAGGACGGGCTGGAAGGTGACCACAAACTCCGTGGCCGAGTCCCGGTTCGGGCAGCAGAAAGTCTCCAGCCGAGGGGAGGCCATCCTGGACCGCGGGGCGATGGAGACGAAGAGGAGCCGCTCACCACGAGGGTTCTGGCGCTGCGAGGAGAAAGGGAAAGGAAAAGAAAAGAAGAGGAAACGACTGAGCTCTCTGACAAATCACGGGGTTGAATCATCATGTGCTTCTGTTTAATCCCTGAAGTTGTAGCTTAACTCAGCCGCACAACACAAGAAAGGACTGCTGTGTGCAGGGAAGTGATTTACTGTAGGTCCTGCTTTAGTTGACCGGGCCTGTAGTTCTCATTTTTGATGTTCCAGTGTGCAGGAGTGACGCTTCTTACAGATTCAACTATGAAATGCCTTTTAAAATTAGTTTGTTAGAGGTAAAACAAGCACAACAGAGTCTAAAATGAGCAGAACTGATCTAAAAATGAGCAGAACAGAGGCTAAAAAATAAAAATAAACTATGCAGAAAACTCTTCTGTGTTCACACTAAATAAATTGTAATACATTTTTAGAAGCCACCCAGACGCCACATCCTCTGTACTAAAAAAGGAGAGGGACCATCAGGACTGTTATCAGTGCAAGGTTCAAAAGCCTGCCTCTCTGATGATATAGGCGTGCATTAGTGCCTTTAATGCATGGATAGCTTACATGTTTGGAAAGGTATAAGCAATGCACAAAAGTAAGAACAGGTTTTAGGGCAACATACGCTCCCATCAAACAGCAACCCACTGTTGAAACAAACAGGAACGAGTCATTTCACTTCAAAACGTCCAGCAGCTTTTACAGAAGGAGACTCTTTCCAGTGGTAAATAATTTGTTAAATGTGCTGCAGCTGGTTCAACACCAAAGTTATAATTTTATTGATCAGTATTGTTTACAATGTTCCACTGTTGATAAAATATGGCTCTGTGAAATTTTTCCCAACCCTTCTGCACAACGTCGCGACTGCTGCAAGACAGTGAAAGAGGAGTCGACTCCTTTGAAAGACAATATTTTAATACGTTTCCAAAAATGGAACGTCTGGAATTAAATTAGATTATTTTTCCATTCATTGATTAATAAGAAAAAAAGGAAAGCATTAGCTGTGTCCTGCTCCAAAGGTCACAGACNCCCCCCCACCAAGCCGAGGTCAGCTGCTCGGTCTGAATGCCTTGGCCGGGGATCTAAGAGGACTGGTGGACATTTGAAACAAAAGCATCAAAAGCCTCCAGTATTCAGGACAACAAAGAGCACATTCATTCACTTAGCTCAGTGGTATTCTAATCCATGTGCACCTTCTGTGGAAAAGGCACTAAAGTCAATTTGTGTGGCGAGCTTGTAGTCTGCTGCCGAGGATTAACAGCTCCCCCAGGAATACAGTTCTACTATTGACGTGCATCTGCTCTCTGTGGCTGCCCTCTGCTGGCTCCTGTACGCTGGATAATGTGATTGTAGCTCTTAATAAAGACACTGACGATATTGCTGCTACAGAACTCCTGGGATTGACTGTGYGAAGGRAAAAAACAATCACTTAGCTGCAGCTGTAACAAATGGTTGCGTTGAATCTTGAGCACGTGAGAAACTCCAGCTCTGTCTCAAATCAATAAGCACACAGCTGTGAGACAGTTACTGTCTTTGAGTCAGTACTGCTCTCTCATGCTTTTTGTTGTGCTTGAAGATGACTCTCAGCTACTACCACAACCATTTTAGCTCCACACCTATATTMCTGTTTTTGCTATGGTTAGTTAGCCGTAGCAGCCACCTCGAATCAGATTGACACTAAAAAGTTGATGAACTCAGTTCAGTTTTCAGTAGGGGAGACCGGGGACAGTAGCAACAAGGGACGGTTGCAACAAGTCATTTTTCTCCAAACAGAAACAAACTAGAGTGATGACACTCTCAGTTAGATGTCCCACCTTGCAAAGAAAAAGTAAGCAGATTCAAAAACTGCTCCAGGATTTATTTGAAAAAAAAAAATGTTTTTGAGGTACCAAAGTGTTTTTTTCCCAGATTTATTTTTGTTATACTGTTGTCACTGTTTTGTTTGATCCAGCTCAAACTTATATGGTTTAAACAAGTGATATGTTGACTTTTAACTAACGTAGTTAACATGTATCCAGATCAGCTTATTTAGCTAAYACATGAGGTTTTAYCATGGCTGACAGGAAGCAACTGTCCCCATATACGATAAATCTATATAAAAACAGAGCACATACAGATGATATTAGGATGTTGAAATTAAGTTTACACTTAAAAGAGTATTGGGTATTCATGACAGTTTTATAGTGTAAAACATAAAAGTGTTTAAGATGTATTTTCTGCAGTTGTTGTTTTCAACAATGGTTTTAAAATCCCAGTTTCTTTCAATGTAAATGTTGCATAATGTAGGCATACAGTGATAATAGACAAAACAAAAGTTAATTGCCTCACAAATTGTTCTATTATTCTTGTCTCTAAAAGCCAACTGTATTTTGCATCGATTAGAGTCTTTGACATCTGTATATGAGGTCTACTCATCAAGGCAAATCTATATTCATCATTTGATCAAAAAGAATAAATAAATAACACTGACATATCATTATAACTTACAGCTTTTATAAATTAAGCAATGATATAACTATAAAAATGTTAAAACTTTTATTTACAGTGAAGTATATTGTGTTAATAATATGCTGCAACCACCCCCAAACAATGTTGCAACTGACCGTTTCAACATCTGACTTTTCATTTTAAAATGCAAATTGTGAAGCGTGTACCTGCTTTAATCGTCTATAAATAGTTTTGACTATTAACAGACAGATGTAAGTTCATTGTATTCAGCAACAGAGTCAAATACAAAGAGTGTTACCACTGTCCCCGGTCTCCCCTATATTTAATGACTACTTTCTGAGAGTTTTGTTAAAATCTTTTCACTGGTTCATGAGATATTTTGCTAACAGACAGACGAGGTTGGCTTCAACAATTAACGACAAAGTTTCAAACTGAGCTTTTGATGAATCAAAGTAAGAGTTGGGGATGTCTGTCACTACCACACAAAATTTTAGCTCAATATTTAAAAAAACTTCAAAGTTGTTGGCCTTTTTGTGTTTCCCAAGACTGTTTGAACGTGGTGGCCATTTTTATTTCGATTGACTCCGAAAGCTAATCGGTTGCAGATGCACATCCCTTGACTAACTGCTGAAAATTTCCTTAAAATCTGCCTGTTGGTTTATGAAATATTTTGCTAACAGACTGTCAAAACAACACGCAGGGACACAGCCATTTCTCCTTTCCGTCACTCTTGCAACCAACTGACTTATGGAGGTAAATTTGTGTTTTTATGATTCAATCAAACAAAAAGCATCTTCAATCAAAAAATAATTTCAATAAAAAAATTTTTGATTGAAATTATTATTTTTGATTGAAGATGCTTTTTGTTTGATTGAATCATAAAAAC